AAAGGCTCAAAATAAAGGGATGGAGGAAGATTTACCAAGCAAATGGAGAGCAAACAAAAGCAGGAGTTGCAGTTCTTATCTCTGATAAAATAGACTTTAAAGCAACAAAGATCAAAAGAGACACAGAAGGCCATTACATAATGGTAAAAGGATCGATACAACAAGAAGAGCTAACGATCCTAAACATATATGGATCCAATGCAGGGGCACCCAGATACATAAGGCAAGTTCTTAATGACTTACAAAGAGACTTTGACTCCCACACAATAATAGTGGGAAACTTTAACACCCCACTGTCAATATTAGACAGATCAACCAGACAGAAAATCAACAAGGATATCCAGGGCTTGAACTCAGACCTGGAGCAAGCAAACCTCATAGACATTTACAGAACTCTCCACCCCAAATCCACAGAATACACATTCTTCTCAGCACATCACACCTACTCTAAAATTGACCACATAATTGGAAGTAATGCACTGCTCAACAAATGCAAAACAACTGAAATCATAACAAACAGCCTCTCAGACCATAGTGCAATCAAGTTAGAACTCAGAATACAGAAACCAACCCAGAACTGCACAGCTTCATGGAAACTGAACAACTGGCTCTTGAATGTTGACTGGGTAAACAATGAAATGAAGGCAGAAATAAAGAAGTTCTTCGAAACCAATGAGAACGAAGACACAACATGCCAGAACCTCTGGAGCACATTTAAAGCAGTCTCTAGAGGAAAGTATATAGCAATAAGTGCCCATATGAGAAGAATGGAGAGATCCAAAATTGACACCCTATCTTCAAAATTGAAAGAGCTAGAGGAGCAAGATCAAAAAAAACTCAAACCCCAGCAGAAGACAAGAAATAACTAAGATCAGAGCTGAACTGAAGGAGATTGAGATATAAAAAACCCTTCAAAATATCAATAAATCCAAGAGCTTGTTTTTTGAAAAGATCAACAAAATAGACAGACCACTAGCCAGATTGATTAAAAAGCAAAGAGAGAACAACCAAATAGATGCAATAAAAAATGATAAAGGGGAAATCACCACAGATTCCACAGAAATTCAAACCATCATCAGAGAATATTACAAACAACTCTATGTGCATAAACTAGTAACCCTGGAAGAAATGGATAAATTCCTGGACTCCTGTGTCCTCCCAAGCCTAAACCAGGAGGAAGCTGAAACTATGAATAGACCAATAACAAGGGCAGAAGTCGAGGCAGCAATTTAGAGCCTACCACACAAAAAAAGCCCAGGTCCAGACGGGTTCACAGCCGAATTCTACCAGACACACAAAGAAGAGCTGGTACATTTCCTTCTAAAAGTATTTCAAACAATCCAAAAAGAGGGATTCCTTCCCAAATCATTTTACGAGACCAACATCATTCTGATACCAAAACCCGGCAGAGATCCAACAAGAAAAGAAAACTTCTGGCCAATATCCATGATGAACATAGATGCAAAAATCTTCAATAAAATATTGGCAAGCCGATTGCAACAGCAAATCAAAAAACTTATCCATCATGATCAAGTAGGATTCATCCCGGTGATGCAAGGATGGTTCAACATATGCAAGTCTATAAACGTAATTCACCACATAAACAGAACCAAAAACAAAAACTACATGATTATCTCAATTGACGCAGAGAAGGCATTTGACAAATTCAACAGCCCTTTATGCTAAAATCCCTCAATAAACTCGGTATCGATGGAACGTATCTCAAAGTAATAAAAGCTATTTATGACAAACCAACAGCCAATATCATACTGAATGGGCAAAAACTGGAAGCATTCCCTTTGAAATCCAGCACTAGACAAGGATGCCCTCTGTCACCACTCCTATTCAATATAGTACTGGAAGTTCTAGCCAGAGCAATCAGGCAAGAAAAAGAAATAAAGGGTATTCAAATAGGAAAGGTGGAAGCCAAATTGTCTCTATTTGCAGACGACATGATAGTATACCTAGAAGACCCCATCGCCTCAGCCCAAAAACTCCTGAAACTGATAAGCAACTTCAGCAAAGTCTCAGGATATAAAATCAATGTGCAAAAATCACAAGCATTCGTCTACACCAATAACAGTCTTAAAGAGAGCCAAATCAAGAATGAACTGCCATTCGCAATTGCTACAAAAAGAATAAAATACCTTGGAACACAACTCACAAGGAACGTAAGGGACCTCTTCAAGGAGAACTACAAACCACTGCTCAATGAAATCAGAGAGGACACAAACAGATGGAGAAACATTCCACGTTCATGGTTAGGAAGAATTAATATCGTGAAAATGGCTATACTGCCCAAAGTAATTTACAGAATCAACGCTATACCCATCAAGCTACCATTGACTTTCTTCACAGAACTGGAAAAAAACACCATGAACTTCATATGGAACCAAAAGAGAGCCCACAGAGCCAAGTCAATTCTAAGCAAAAAGAACACAGCGGGGGCATCACACTACCGGATTTCAAACTACACTACCAGGCTACAGTAATCAAAACAGTGATATAGACCAATGGAACAAAACAGTGGCACCGGAGGCAACACAACATATCTACAACTATACAATCTTTGATAAGCCTGACAAAAACAAGCAATGGGGAAAGGATTTCCTGTTTAACAAATGGTGTAGGAAAAACTGGCTAGCCATGTGCAGAAAGCAGAAACTGGACCCCTTCCTGACACCTTATACTGAAATTAACTTCAGATGGATTAAAGACTTAAACCTAAGACCTGGCACCATAAAAACCCTAGAAGGAAATCTAGGCAAAACTATCCAGGACATAGGAGTAGGCAAGGACTTCATGAAAAAAACACCAAAAGCATTGGCAACAAAAGCCAAAATAGACAAATGGGACCTAATGAAACTCCACAGCTTCTGCACGGCAAAAGAAACAGTCACTAGAGTGGATCGGCAACCAACAGAATGGGAAAAAATTTTTGCAGTTTACCCATCTGACAAAGGGCTGATATCCAGAATTTACAAAGAACTCAAACAGATTTACAGGAAAAAAACAAACAAGCCCATTCAAAAGTGGGCAAAGGATATGAACAGACACTTTACGAAAGAAGACATATATGAGGTCAACAATCATATGAAAAAATGCTCATCGTCCCTGGTCATCAGAGAGATGCAAATCAAAACCACATTGAGATACCATCTCACGCCAGTTAGAATGGCGATCATTAAAATATCTGGAGACAACAGATGCTGGAGAGGATGTGGAGAAAAAGGAACACTTTTACACTGTTGGTGGGAGTGTAAATTAGTTCAACCATTGTGGAAGACAGTGTGACGATTCCTCAAGGCCTTAGAAATAGAAATTCCATTTGACCCAGGAATCCCATTACTGGGTATATATCCAAAAGTCTATAAATCGTTCTACTATAAGGACACATGTACACGAATGTTCATTGCAGCACTGTTTACAATAGCAAAGACCTGGAATCAACCCTAATGCCCATTGATAATAGACTGGATTGGAAAAATGTGGCACATATACACCATGGAATATTATGCAGCAATCAGAGATGAGGAGTTTGTGTCGTTTGTAGGGACATGGATGAATCTGGAGAACATCATCCTCAGCAAACTGACACAAGAACAGAAAATGAAACACCGCATATTCTCACTCATAGGCGGGTGTTGAAAAATGAGAACACATGGACACAGAAAGGGGAGTACTAAACACTGGGGTCTATTGGGGGGAAAAGGGGAGGGCCAGTGGGAGGGGGAGGTGGGGAGGGATAGCCTGGGGAGAAGAAAAGCAAAGCACACTGCCATGTGTGTACATACGCAACTGTCTTGCATGCTCTGCTCATGTACCCCAAAACCTAAAATGCAATAAAAAATTAAAAAAAAAAAGATTGTTCCCGGGGCCTGAAAACTTGGGGGGATAACTCCTCCCTCCTCAGGCTCAGTCCCAAGGTACAAGACCACGTGCATCTGCAGCTGGGTCAGCAAGCCAGCAGAAGCCAGAAGAACATAGGCTGGAAGACAAGGACCCCCTGAAGATCAGAGAGAGGTCGTCTGGCACCACAGAGCAGTTACGTCCAACTGGAACACTTCCCATTCACAGGAGACTAAAACACCCAGCCTCAGCTTCACTTGGGGCCGGTCCGCACCCAGGCGCTCAAGAAAACAGCATGTTGCTCCACACCGCCTGGAGCTGTTTGCTGACGCTCTCAGGGCTCGCACCAATAATAGAGCCTTGTACCTAATATCCCAGGTGGTAATGCAAGAGCGATATCTATGAGACACCCCTCTTCCTCCACCCTCCACATCCAAGCGATCCCCAAGGATACAAGCCGGCCAGGCAAGGTAGCTCACGCCTGTAAGCCCAGTACTTTAGGAGGCCGAGGCATGTGGATCTCCTGAGGTCAAGAGTTCAAGACTGCTCTGGCCAACATTGGAAAAGCCTGTCTCTACTACAGATTCAAAAATTAGCCAGTGTGGTGGCAGGTGCTTGTAATCCCAGCTACTCAGGAGGCTGAGACAGGAGAATCGCTTGAACCTGGGAGGCACAGGATGCAGTGAGCTGAGATCACGCCATTTCACTACAGCCTGGGCAACAGAGCAAGAATCTGTCTCAACAAAAAAAGAAAAGAAAAGGATTCGTACAGTTTTGTCTCCAGAAGAGGGGTCTTGTCCCAGACCCCAACAACAGGATTTCGGATCTCACACGAAATGGAATTTATGGCAAGTCGCACACTCTTGTGATATTAAAAGCGTTTATAAGCCACTGCTAAGTTACAGAGCACAGAGTCCTAAGAAGGCAAGAGGAGGAACGCACCTGTTTTAAAGAAAAAACAACTTTTTGAGATGGGGTTTTACTCTTCTCACAATGACATGATCTCGGCTCACTTCAACCTCTGCTTCCTGGGTTTACGGGTCCTCCTGCCTCAACCTCCCAAGTAACGGGGATTACAGGTGTGCACCACCACGTCCGGCTAATTTTTTATATTTCTTTTCCATTTTTATTTATTTATTTATTTTATTCCATCCCCGTAGAGACTGCCAAAAATTGCCAATGCCGACTACACTTCCAGTCGTCACGGTGGGGTATTGGGAAAAGTTTTCAATTAGCAATAATTGCGCCTCAGATAAACCTCATTGGCCTCGATACTGCCACTGTGCAAAGCTTTTTTTTTTTTTTTTTTTTTTTTTAGTAGAAACTGGGTTTCACCATGTTGGCCATGCTGGTGTTCAACTCCTGGCCTCAAGTTATCCGCCCTCCTCGGCCTCCCAAAGTTCTGGGATTACAGGTGCAATTACTTAATGTTTACATTACTTAGTGTTTACATTAAGTAACCGCACCTGTAATCCCAGCACATTAACGTACAAACAGGATTACTTACTGTTTGGTTATCTAGGTGATTAAGAATAGTGTTGTCTCTTATAAAGGATTGTGATCAGTTTGTGTCGGGCTATGAGTATTGTTACTTTTCTTTGTTACTACTGATTTTAACAATAATATATGAGTGTATTATTACCTTGAATACTTATTTTTAAATTAAGAATGCTTTTTGCTTAAAGTACTGGTATATTTTTGTAGGTTTTCGGTCTTTATTTAGTTATTAACTTGTTCCTGCGACCATAAATATTTTATAACCAAAGGTGCTCAATCCCTAAATATATAATCCAACAGATTTAACGTGTGTGTGTGTGAGAGAGAGAGAGAGAGTGTGTGTGTGTGTGTGTCTCACTCTGTCTCCCAGGCTTGAGTGCAGTGGTGTGATCATGGCTGGCTCACTGCGGCCTCAAACTCCTGGGCTCAAGCGATCCTCCCACATCAGCCTCCTGGGTAGCTGGGACCACAGGCACGCACCACCATGCCCGCTAATTTTTATATTTTTTGTAGACATGAGGATCTCGCTATTTTCCCAGGCTGGTCTTGAACTCCTGATCTCAAGTGATCCTCCCGCCTTGGCCTTCCAGAGTGCTGGGATTACACTCGTGAGCCCTGCACCCTGCCAAGATTTAGCTTTTTTTCAAGCTTTTATTTAAAATAAAGTCACTGTGGTTAAGACACCTCTGACAGTTTTGCATTTTAAGTGTGAAGACTACGTTGAGTGAATTTTTCCACAAACTGTAAAATGTGAATCCATGTTTATTTTATTCTTATGGTTTCCAATTAATTGTCACTTCTTCCTTTTTAGAAACACACGGGCCACTGGGGTCCCTGTCAGTTTGCATTTGCAGAATGATGGCGGTGAAGACGCTGCACTCCGACCTCAAGTGGTGCGGCGGGGTGGCCACCAGAGGGCGCGCGTCCTCCACCAGCGCTGTGAGCTCGAGGGCCCTGCAGTGCCCCCGGCCACCAGCAGAGGGCGCGCTGGAGCGAGGCGGCGTAATTGCACCAGCCAAGCTCCTCTACCAAACGGAAGCCCTGCCTTACACAGGGTTACAATTCCAGATATGACACGTGAAAGGGTCTTGGGGTTACAGTTTTAGAAATCACATGTGACAGGGTCATGGTGCATGCAGTAGGCGTGGGGTGGGGGCTTGAACTCATTTGAGTCAAAACAACGCCTTCCAAGGGTCTTGGTGCATGGAGTGGGCGTGGGGTGGGGGCTTGAACTCGTTAAGTCAAAACAACGCCTTCCAAGGGTCTTGGTGCATGGAGTGGGCGTGGGGTGGGGGCTTGAACTCGTTAAGTCAAAACAACGCCTTCCAAGGGTCTTGGTGCATGGAGTGGGCGTGGGGTGGGGGCTTGAACTCATTTAAGTTAAAACAACGCCTTCCAAGGGTCTTGGTGCATGGAGTGGCCGTGGGGTGGGGGCTTGAACTCATTTAAGTTAAAACAATGCCTTCCAAGGGTCTTGGTGCATGGAGTGGGCATGGGGTGGGGGCTTGAACTTGTTAAGTCAAAACAACACCTTCTAAGGGTCTTGGTGCATGGAGTGGGCCTGGGGTGGGGGCTTGAACTCGTTTAAGTCAAAACAACGCCTTCCAAGGGTCTTGGTGCATGGAGTGGGCGTGGGGTGGGGGCTTGAACTCATTTAAGTTAAAACAACGCCTTCCAAGTGTCTTGGTGCATGGAGTGGGTGTGAGGTGGGGGCTTGAACTCGTTTAAGTCAAAACGCCTTCCAAGGGTCTTGGTGCATGGAGTGGGCGTGGGGTGGGGGCTTGAACTCATTTAAGTTAAAACAACGCCTTCCAAGGGTCTTGGTGCATGGAGTGGGCGTGGGGTGGGGGCTTGAACTCGTTAAGTCAAAAAAATGCCTTCCAAGGGTCTTGGTGCATGGAGTGGGCCTGGGGTGGGGGCTTGAACTCGTTTAAGTCAAAACAACGCCTTCCAAGGGTCTTGGTGCATGGAGTGGGTGTGAGGTGGGGCTTGAACTCCTTTAAGTTAAAACAACGCCTTCCGGAAAGATTCCCCCACACCATGCCTGTGATCTATAGGAGGGCGATTAAGGTGGCGCCTGGTCGGCCACCCTTTACTTCTACTGAAATGCAGTGTGGAAGTCAAGGGGGAGGTGACCCTAGATGCTTGGGTCTCCTTCCTCACCGGGTCACCTCCTCCCTGCACACGGCCACTCTCCCACCTGGGCTACTCTCCAGTCTCACAATTGCTCTGAGCAACTGTGGAAAGAAGACACCTGTGTAGCCTCTCCCTTGCCCAAGTCGCTTGCTGAGAGACCTGCATAACTCGTCTCACTGAACCCTGGACCGCCCTGAAAAGAATACCGCTGCCCCTGTATTTCAGACAAAGACTATGAGGCGGTCAGGCTCGGTGGCTCACACCTGTAATCCCAGCACTCTGGAAGACCGAGGCAGGTGGATCGTGAGGTCAGAAGTTCAAGACCAGCCTGGCCAAGATGGGGAAACCCCATCTTTAGTCTCTACTAAAAACACAAAAATTAGCCGGGCATGGTGGCGGGCACCTATAAACCCAACTATTTGGGAGACTGATGCAGGAGATTGCTTGAACCCTGTGTCAGGTCTCCATATGCAAGCCTGGAGCCTGAAGGTCTGAAGTCCTGCCTGCCTGGGCTGATCGTCTCCCACTGCCCGCCTGCCTTTGCCATTGTTCCTGAGTGCCCAGCAGAGCTTCCCTGGACAAGCCCCTCACCCCACCTGCCATCTCAACTGTTCTTAGGATAATGTGAATACCTCTCACCCATCCTGTCATCTTCACTGCTCTTCTGCCTCACCCCAGCTGCCACTGTAACTGAACGTAGGGTAAATGTACACTCCTTGCCCCAACCCACCACTGTAGCTGATCTTACTCTGTAACTTTCCACTTCCCGCCCCAAACCTATAAAACCAACTCCTATCCCGCTGCCCTTTGCTAACGCCCTTTTCGGCCTTAGCCCACCTGCACCCAGCTGAATAAATAGCCACGTTGCTCACACAAAGCCTGTCTGCGGGGATCTCTTCATTCAAAGTGTGAATCTTCAACACCTGGGACGTAGAAGTTGCAGTGAGCCAAGATCACTCCACTGCACTCCAGCCTGGGCAACAGAGCAAGATTCCATCTCAAAAATAAAAATAAAAGACAAAGATTATGAGGCCAGCGGAGGCTGTGACCAAGCACCTGACCCCACCTTGTCGGCAGAAGCTGAATTGGAACTAGGTTCTCAGGTTCGCAGGGTCTGATGAGGGCCTCCTGATTACAAGGTCCAAAGTGTGACCGGCACCTCCATTAGCATGATATATATTTGTCTGTAATCTATGTATGGGCATTTTCACACACCAGATTTTGCCAGGAGTCTCTCATGTTATCTTTTACTGTAGTCACAAAATTCTGTGCTTCTCAGTATAAATACTTGTCTTTTTATAGTTGAACGCTGGGGATGCAAGTGATTTTCCACACAGCCAGCACCTTACAGTTTCCAAACGTGGTTTTCACCATGCGTTGGGATTGACTCAGGGGGCCTGGCAAAACAGGAGGGAAATGTTAGGGAAAGTTAGAAATTTACAGTCTCAAACCTTTTGGAAGGCCAAAGGGTTTTAACGGAATGGGCTAAAGGCAGCCAGTTCATTAGGTTAAAATGTTAAGCCGTAGGGTGAAAGACAGGGACCGTCGAGCTTCCCCGGTCGCCTGTTTACCCACATCCCTTTGCCTCTATTCTAAGTGTTCACTCATGTAAACCCTGTGCTGTACGGTCCTCTCAGCAGGAGGTGGAAGGGGAATCACACGTGAATGGTGTTTTCTCTGGGCCCAAAACCAAAAGTTTAATCATTCAAAACCACTCTTTCAACCATGTTAATTATCCACAAGTGTGTTAACTTAAAGCCTCTGTTATTCAACCTATACCAAATAAATGTAAGAAGGTACAGGGAGTCATGGCTGGGTTTGCTAAAACCGCCCCTAAAGGAAGTTAACAAACATCCCCACCCCATTCAAAATCACCGTAGTGGGCGTGAGAGAGCATTCATTCATCTGTGCCCAGGTCGGGGTCGGCAAAACAAACCTCCACAGGTGGCGTGGCTGTTTCATGGTTTGAATTCGTGTTGCATGATGTGAACATGCATCTCTCTCAGCTGCACTCCCACCTGAGAGGCAGCCAGGATAACAGTACTTCCGGGAGCAAGTCTCCTCGAAGAAGAAGAAAACACCTGGCACAACACCTGGCATGGTGTGACATTCTGAAGTGCAAGGACTTTTCCGGGACAAAAGTTTCTGAAGGTGGCAGTTCGTGTCTCAGTCTCCATGGGGTCCAGAATTTGCTGCACAGCGGGAGGTGACAAGGAGCCACTGGATTCTTGTGTGATGTTAACACTGGACGTGTGCCTGCTCTAAGCTCTGGAAGTCACATCCTCCCTGTGGGGTTTTTTTTTTTTTTTGAGACAGAGTCTTGCTCTGTTGCCCAGGCTGAAGTGCAGTGGTGCGATCTCAGCTCAGTGCTGCAACCTCCACCTCCTGTGTTCAAGCGATTCTCCTGCCTCAGCCTCCTGAGTAGCTGGGACTACATACGCCACTACTGCTGGCTAATTTTTGTATTTTTAGTAGAAACAGGGTTTCACTATATTGACCAGGCTGGTCTTGAACTCCTGACCTCAGGTGATCCATCTGCCTCCCAAAGTGCTGGGATGACAGGCATGAGCCACCGCACCCAGCCCTTCCCTGCATCCCAATGTCCACAAATATTATAAATCACGTACTTAACTGTCTAGGATTTTCAACTAACTGTCCAATGTCTGGACAAAGGTGCTTTCAAATATCTATAATAGGTCAGGATGTGGACTAGGATGTTTTACCAATTGATTGATTACAGTAAGGAAAACACCCAGAGTCCTCCAAAAGCATAGAAGTGCCTTTCCTATTAGATACATCCACTGCTGTGCATATTGCTCAGTTATGATGAAACGTCCCTCGTGTTCCGTTTTGGAGTCCCTGAGGTGCAGCCTACGGTGTGGCCCTGGACTCAGGAAGCCCCTGAAGGAGGGGAGCACACCTGCTGCTGTGGCTACACTGCCTATCCACACAGGGGTTTCCAGCCAGACAGGTGAGCACCTGCAGCGATGCCCTCCCATCCACATCTGTCGTCCTTCCTGCCCTGACTCCAGGTGAGGGCAGAGGGCCACGGAATTACAGGTAAGTCGTCTTCTTCTTTTTTTTTGAGATGGAGTTTTGCTCCTGTCACCCAGGCGGGAGTACAATGGTGTGACCTCGGCTCACTGCAACCTCCGCCTCTCAGGTTCAAGTGATTCTCCTGCCTCAGTCTCCCGAGTAGCTGGGATCACAGGAATGTACCACCACTCCTGGCTAATTTTGTTTTTTTGTTTTTTGTAGAGACGGGGTTTCTCCACATTGGTCAGGCTGGTCTCGAACTCCTGACCTCAGGTGCTCTGCCCGCCTCGACCTCTCAAAGTGCTGGGATTAGAGGTGTGAGCCACCGCACCCAGCCTCAGGTAAGTCTTCTTTACTCAGTCATCTATTTACTCACTTGGCTAATTCATTCATAAATTCCATTGCTGTAACTTAGTCATTCCAAATAACCTAAAGGTCCACCTGTCATGCAATGCCCTCACCACACACCTTGCCTGGTCGGCTAGTTCTTCCCAGGGATTTCCCATCCCTGTAATGCCATTAAAATGTCTAAACTAGGCCGCCTGCTTATAAAACAGCAAGTCAGAGTAAAAACAAAACTGGGCTTCTAGCCAACAAATCACAGCTGTCACAGAAGAGGCTCTGCCAGGGGCAGTGGCTCAGCCTGTAATCCCAGCATTTTGGGAGGCTGAGGCGGGTGGATCACTTGAGGTCAGGAGTTCGATACCAGCCTGGCCAACATGGTGAAACCCCGTCTGTACTAAAAATACAAAAAACCTACCTGGGCGTGGTGGCAGGTGCCTGTAATCTCAGCTATTTGGGAGGCTGAGGCAGGAGAATCGCATGAACCCAGAGGGTGGAGGTTGCAGTGAGCCGAGGTTGTGCCACTGCACTCCAGCCTGGGCGAGAAGAGCAAAACCCTATCTCAAAACAAAGAACAACTAAACAGGCTAACAAAATGCTGCAGCAGGGTATGACTTGAGAAGTCATTTCTGAGACAGAGGACGGGATCTGGGAGCTGTCCAGCTTCTGAAAATATGCGGCAGGAGACGCAAGAACTAAGATTCTCTACACAGCAGGACAATGTGCCTCTCGCTGTTCAGGAGACTGGGGGTGGGCAATCAGGCTTTCGGCTAAGAAGCCTCTAGGAAAAGGCCCAGTCCGCACTGCTGAGCCAGCCTGGGGGCTCACACGCCCCCAAATCCCCATCCCCAACGCTGCCCAGAAGGCTGCAAGCCACACCACTGCCAGGTGAGGTTGAGGAAACGCTGCCTTCTTGCGTCAGGTTCTAGCAACTAACGTAAAAAATGTAAATAATGTTATTGAAATTCGGATTTTCTGTTGTTTCAATTCAAACAGAAATTCAGTTGAGGAATAAATAGCCAGGTGTGGTGGCTCACACCTGTAATCCCAGCGCTTTGGGAGGCCCAGGCGGGTGGATCATGAGGTCAAGAGATCGAGACCATCCTGGTCAACATGGTGAAACCCTGTCTCTACTAAAAATACAAAAAATTAGCTGGGCATGGTGGCACGTGCCTGTAATCCCAACTACTTGGGAGGCTGAGGCAGGAGAATTGCCTGAACCTGGGAGGCGGAGGTTGCAGTGAGCCGAGATCGTGCCATTGCACTCCAGCCTGGGTAACAGGGGCGAAACTCCGTCTCAAAAAAAAAAAAAAAATTGTAATTTACAGATCACAAAATTTCACTCCTAAATACTTCCATATGCACCTATAAAAAAAAGTAAGCATAAAAGTGGGGTGTGGTTGTGCGCACCTGTAGTCCCAGCTACTCAGGAGGCTGAGGCAGGAACATCGCTTGAGCCTGGGAGGTTGAGGCTGCGGTGAGCAGTAATTGCACCACTGCACTCCAGCCTGGGCAGCAGAATGACACCCTGTGTCTAAAAAATAAGGTATGTATGATAACCAGAGTAACATATGGTAGCTGACACATTCAGAAAAGTCTTGCATATCATCAAATACTCAGGGGGAGTTTTCTTTTTCTTTCTTTCTTTTTTTTTTTTTTTTTTTTTTGAGACCTAGCCTGCTCTGTCGCCAGGCTGGAGCACAGTGGCACAATCTCGGCTCCCTGCAACCTCTGCCTCCTGGATTTGAGAGATTCTCCTGCCTCAGCCTCCCGAATAGCTGGGATTACAGGTGTCTGCCACCATGCCCAGCTAGGTTTTGCATTTTTAGTAGAGACAGGGTTTCGCCTTGTTGACCAGGATGGTCTCGATCTCCTGACCTTGTGATCCACCCGCCTCGGCCTCCCAATGTGCTGGGATTACAGGCATGAGCCACTGTGCCTGGCCAGGAGGAGGTCTTCAAAAACCAATTAACCTCAGAAGGTGGGAGAAATGCCAGGCCAGCAGGACACAGCCATGGGAAATGACATTTACATGGCTAACAATCTGAGTTTCCTGTGAGAAACAACAGAAAAAAATATCCTCCTTGTACAATGAGAGAAAATACTATTTTTTTTCCATGAAACCATAAGGCTGTGGGCAGTGTAAACCCAAAATTACACATGAGAGCTTCCCCAGAGCTCCATGTGGGCAGAGAAATGTGTCCTAACTGCCGCCCTGCCTGCTATCTTGGTACCGGGAACCTGTGAGAATTTCCGAGCCCGACACCCTGCGTCCCGGCTTTTCTCAACACATGCAGAGCAGCGCATGGGTAGTCCAGCTGGGCAGCACCCAGACAGCGAGACAGGCCACCGGCTCCCAAAGCTGGGCCCTTCCGGCTCCTGAGGACCCTCTGTGGATGGGTCTGGTCAGTACAGCCCTTGTTCTCTGCTCTCACAGCCGTGGGGTGCACATGCTCTTTCTGAAGAACAGACTCCCCCAGACAAAGCCAGCAGCCGGACTCAGCCACATCCTCTCCCTCACTCCAAATTTCCTCCTCTCCTCAGTCTTCACTGCTGGTCCCACCATGACCACCTGCCCTGCAGCAGATCACACCGAAGTCCTGTGCACCGTAGCTGCTCCCAGAGACGCACGCTCAACCCTCACTGTGGTCCTGGTTTTCAAGGCCATTGCACCTGGGAGGAGATGGAGGTGTCGGCTGCTGTCAGGGCACCTGGGTCATTCCCATTTGCTCCTGATACAGGTGACTCTGCTGGTGGGATCTGGCTGGGAACCCACTGCCAGAGACATGTTCTGAGCCCAGACACAGCCTCATTCGTCCTCGGGCGTCACTGCCTGCTGTGGCATCCTAGGATACCTGGGAGGGTTCAGTGTGACTTTCCCGGCCAGGATCCCATCTGACACCTGCATGGAGGCGAGTCCCTGAGGTTCAGCTGGAGTTCTGCAGGGTCTGGGTCACCTTCCTTCCCGTCCACCAAGGGCAGGTCTCCATCGCAGCCCCTTGGGTGGGGCTCCCAGGCTGCACTTTTGCCCCCCAGGGCTACACCACCCTTCCCATAGGCTAAGTCCTGATAGGAACAGCCTGCAGGGTGAGGGAGTAAGACAGGTGCAAACACAACATCGGCAGACACTTAAGTGATACAAAAGACAAATGTACTCTTTACCCTCCTGTTGAAAAAGCGAGCTCTGTGTGTTCTGCCATCACTTCAGGGAAATCAGCCCCTGAATTACCCATTTCAGAAGCGGGGCCCCCAGGTGCACAGGGGCGGACATGAGCAGAGGGGAGGGGTATGCTGACCCAGCTGACCCTTGAACCCAGCGCCGTGCAGGGAGAAACGCAAGGGCGGGCTTGGCTGCTGCCCTCCACCATCACAGCAGGTGAGTCGCCTCTGACGGCAGGAACTCGTCCCTGAACGACCGTAAGGAATGGAGGCACTGAGACCACTCATCAAACCAATGTCGTATTTTACTAAAAACCACACGTACATTACATTTTACAAAATAGCAACTATCTGATCTTTCAGTCCCTTAACCCCATAAAGGAATGGGGATATGTGGGGAGCTACGGGAACAGGTCCCCCTCCAAATGCTCAGGGCTACCTAGGCATCCCCAGACCCCAGTCCAGTGCACGGTGGGGGGCAGCAGAGCCTGCACCGCTCCCATCAGCCCAGGGTCCCCGTCCGGAGTCCTCAGTGCCTACCCAGGGCCAGAGGGACCACCTGGGGGGCTGGCCTCAGCTGGACTCAGCCACTCCCTGCCTGGGCGGGGTCCAGCCTCAGGAGGAGGAGTGTGGGTACCCATAGTGGTTGTGGTCAGCCTCTCCCAGGGTCACCATCAGTAACAGGCTGGGCTTCCATTCCAGCTCCTCCTCCTTTGGGCAGTGCTGTGGGGGTCTGGCTGTGAAGAAGTCAGAGATGTAGCGGACCTGGCAGAGAGGAGGAAGGTGAGACCAGGCAGGGGCTGGACAGGCACCAGGGACATGGGCATGAGCAGGAGGGGGAGGAGCAGGGTCCCAGTGGGAGCAGGCGGCCTAGGTGGGCAATGAAAGGAAGAGTGCCTCTGGGGGGAAGAGAGCCCTCTTAGTGAAGGACCAGTGGAGAGCACTGGGGTGCTGACAGGCCCAGGGAAGGACTGCGGTTTGGGGAGAAGGGTCCCAGGGGAGGAATGGGGTTAGGAGGGTTCCCAGGGATGGACTGGGGTGTGCAGGCAGGAGGCCCAGGGAAGGAACTGGGGGAAGGAGGTGCCAAGGGAAGGACTGGGGTTTGGGGAGAAGGGTCCCAGGGGAGGAATGGGGGAAGGAGGGTTCCCAGGGATGGACTGGGGTTGAGGAAAGGGGTCCCCAGGAGGAATGGGGGAAGAAGGGGTTCCATGAATGGACTGGGGTTGGGACAAGCGGTCCCAGGGTAGGATGTGGGGGGTAGGGGAGGGGTCCTGGGATGGACTGGGGTTGGGGGAAGGGGTCCCAGAGGAGTAATGGGGGGAAGGGAGGGGCCCTCAGAAAGGACTAGGATTGGGGGAAGAGGTCCCAGGGGAGAAATGGGGAGAAGGGGTCCAGGGAAGGACTGGGATTGGGGTAAGGGGTCCCAGGGGAGGATGTGGGGGGGAAGGGAGGGGTCCAGGGATGGACTGGGGTTGGGGGGTCCCAGAGGAGAAATGGGGGGAAAAGGGGTCCCAGGGAAGGACTGGGGTTGGGGGGAAGGGGTCCCAGACGAGAAATGGGGGGAGGAGGTGTCCCAGGGATGGATTGATTGGGGGAAGGAGTCACAGGGGAGGAATGGGGAGAAGAGGGGTCCAGGGATGGACTGGGGTTGGGGAAGGGGTCCCAGGGGAGGAATCAGGGAGGAGGGGTCCCAGGGAATGAGGGGTCCAGGGATAGACTGGGGTTGGGGAAGGGGTCCCAGGGGAGGAATCAGGGAGAAGGAGGGGTCCCAGGGAATGAGGGGTCCAGGGATAGACTGGGGTTGGGGAAGGGGTCCCAGGGGAGGAATCAGGGAGAAGGAGGGGTCCCAGGGAATGAGGGGTCCAGGGATAGACTGGGGTTGGGGAAAGGGGTTACAGGGGAGGATCTGGGGGGGAAGGAGGGGTCCAGGGAAGGACTGGAGTTTGGGGTAGGGGTCACAGGGGAGAAATGGGGGGAAGGAGGGGTCCCAGGGAAGGACCAGGGTTGGAGAAAGGGGACCCAGGGGAGGACTCCGTGGGGCAAGTGTACAGGGCAGGACCAGGGTTGGGCAGGGAGTGGTCTCTGGACAGCACAGGGGTGAGTCGGGGTCAGAAGCTCACCGTGAGGCCGGCCACCAGCGCCCCCTGCAGGAGGCCAGCAAGGACGTCGTTCCAGTGGTGTTTGTGATCAGACACGCGGGTGTAGCCCACATAGAGGGCAAAGGCCACCAGGAAGAACTGGACTGTGGGCCGCAGCAGCCGTGCCCACTTCCAGCAGAGCCGCGCCTGCACGTAGAGCTGGGATGGGAGAGGACGCCTCAGCCTGTGCCCTGCCAGGCACCCCCACGCCCACTGCACAGATGGCAGCTCCGAGGCCGGGGGCACAAAACCGGCCAGCCCAGGGCCTCCTGCTTTTACAAACAAGTCAGTTATCCCTCCCCCCCATCACCACCACGACCCACCCATTTTACAGCTGGTGAAACCGAGGTCCAGGGAAGGGAGTCCCGGAGAAACGGACTCACCGCCAGGAACACCATGCAGTACATTCCAAAGGAGGCGTGTCCCGAGTAGAAGGACAACCTGAGGGGAGAGGCAGCCGGTGACTCACTGGGCATCTTCCAACCTCCCCTCGCCCCCGCCCCTCCCGCAGAAGGGAGGGTTCCACACGGGAGCTGCTGACGTTACATGCCACCAGATCCCAGGAGCAGAGGCTGCTCCCTTTGCCCTGTCCAGTTATCTGATCATAGAATCAGAGTCTCCAGCTGGGGCTGTGACCCGTGAAGACTCTGAGGCCTGAACCCAGCACCCAGGGGCAAGCAGGCAGCACCGGTTCCGTTTTCACTGCGTTTCTTTTCAGGATTTTCTCCCATCCGTGGAACTGAGGGAAGATTTCTTTTTATTTAATTTGGAGATTGGGCCGGGTTCGGTGATTCATGCCTGTAATCCCAGCCCTTTGGGAGGCCGAGGTGGGTGAATCACGAGGTCAAGAGATCGAGACCATCCCGGTCAACATGGTGAAACCCCGTCTCTACTAAAAATACAAAAAATTAGCTGGGCATGGTGGTGCGTGCCTGTAATCCCAGCTACTCAGGAGGCTGAGGCAGGAGAATTGCCTGAACCCGGGAGGCGGAGGTTGCGGTGAGCCAAGATCGCGCCATTGCACTCCAGCCTGGGTGACAAGAGCGAAACTCCGTCTCAAAAAAAAAAAAAAGATTATTCAGCCTGGCCAGGCACAGAGGCTTACATCTATAGTCCCAGCACTTTGGGAGGCTAAGGTGGGTGGGTCATCTGAGATCAGGAGTTCGAGACCAGCCTGGCCAACATGATAAAACCCCATCTCTACTAAAAATACAAAGAATCAGCAGGATGTGGTGGTACATGCCCATAGTCCCAGCTACTCAAGAGGCTGAGGCAGGAGAATCACTTGAACCCAGGAGACAGAGGTTGCACTGAGCCAAGATCATGCCACTATACACTGCACTGCAGCCTGAGTGACAGAGTGAGATTCTGTCTCAAAAAATAAAATAAATAAAAATGAAAATACAAAAATTAGCCAGGTGTGGTGGTACACACCTGTAATTCCAGCCACTGGGGAGGCTGAGACAGGAGAATTGCTCGAACCCAGGAAGCGGAGGTTGCAGTAAGCCAAGATCAAACCACTGCACTCCAGCCTGGGCAACAGAGCCAGACTCTGTCTCAAAATAAAAAAAAGAGAGAAAAAGATTATTTAGCCTGAACGGCCTCAGGGGCTCACACCTGTAATCCCAGCAATTTGGGAGGCCGAGGCAGAAGGATTGCTTGAGCCCAGGCATTCTAGACCAGCCTAGGCAGCATGGTGAGACCATATTTCTAAAAAAAAAAAAAAAATGTAAAAACCAACCAGATGTGGTGATGTATGCCTGTAGTCCCAGCTACTTGGAAGGCAGAGATGGTTTGAGGCCAGGAGTTCAAGTCCTGGGCAAGATAGTAAGACCCTCATCACTAAAAGAAAAAAAAAAAATTAAAGGCAAAAAAAGACAGTGACGAGGAACTGAAAAAGGAAGATATAACGTAGGCAACCCTAAACAAAATGAGAGGGGTCCTTCCTTATCAGTGATTACACTGACTATAAATAAATAGGTTAAACACTCCACTGAAAGTCAGAGATTCATTAAATTCCTCAATTCAATAAAAAGATTAACATATGCTGGGGAAAAAAGAAAAAAAAACACAGAAAGGGCCGGGCACAGTGGCTCACGCCTGTCATCCCAGCACTTTGGGAGGCCAAGGGGGGTGGATCACGAGGTCAAGAGATCGAGACCATCCTGGTCAACATGGTGAAACCCTGTCTCTACTAAAAATACAAAAATTAGCTGGGCATGGTGGCGCGTGCCTGTAATCCCAGCTACTCGGGAGGCTGAGGCAGGAGAATTGCCTTGTTACCCAGGCTGGAGTGCAATGGTGCGATCTTGGCTCACTGCAACCTCCGCCTCCTGGGTTCAGGCAATTCTCCTGCCTCAGCCTCCTGAGTAGCTGGGATTACAGGCATCCGTCACCAGGCCGGGCTAACTTTTGTATTTTTAGTAGAGATGGGATTTCTCCATGTGGATCATGTTGGTCTTGAACTCCTGGCCTCAAGTGATCTTCCCACCTCAGCCTCCCAAAGTGCTGGGATTACAAGTGTGAATCACCACGTGTGGCCAAATTTTTTTTTTTTTTTTTTGGTCAGAGTCTCATTCTCTCACTCAGACTGGAGTGCAATGGCACGATCTTGGCTCACCGCGGTCTCTGCCTCCCAGGTTCAACCGATTCTCTGCCTTGGCCTCCTGAGCATCTGGGATTATAGGCATGCACCACTACACCCAGCTAATTTTTGTATTTCAAGTAGAGATGGATTTTCATCATGTTTGCCAGGCTGGTCTCGAACTCCTGACCTCAGGTGATCTGCCCACCTCAGCCTCCCAAAGTGCTGGGATTACAGATATGAGCCATCTTGCACAGCCCCTCCTAAATTTTTTTAATTAGGAAAAGAATCTGGGCACAGTGGCTCACGCCTGTAATCCCAGCACTTTGGGAGGCCGAGGCAGGTGGATCACGAGGTCAAGAGATCAAGAACGTCCTGGTCAACATGGTGAAACCCCGTCTCTACTCAAAATACAAAAAATTAGCTGGGCATGGTGGGGCGTGCCTGTAATCCCAGCTACTCGGGAGGCTGAGGCAGGAGAATTGCCTGAACCCAGGAGGCAGAGGTTGCGGTGAGCCGAGATCACGCCATTGCACTCCAGCCTGGGTAACAAGAGCGAAACTCCGTCTCAAAAAAAAAAAAATTAGAAAAAGAAAAAGAGAAAGCAGACACCAAAGACCACATAGTGTATGATTCCATTTATAAGAAACATTGAGAACAGGCAAATCCACAGACAGAAAATAGGATAGCGGCGGTTGCCAGGGGCTGGGGGAGGAGTGACAGCCAGTGCATACAAGGGTCCTTTGCTTCCTTTCCTTTCCTTTTTTTGAGACAGGGTCTCACTCTGTCACCCAGCCTGGGGTAGGCACAATCTCGGTTCACTGAAACCTCTACCTCCCGAGTTCAAGTGATCCTCCTGCCTCAGCCTCCCCAGTAGCTGGGACTGCAGGCACGCGCCACCATGCCCAGCTATTTTTTTTTTCTTTGAGATGGAGTTTCGCTCTTGTTGCCCAGGCTGGAGTGCAATGACACAATCTCAGCTCACCGCAACCTCCGCCTCCCGGGTTCAAGCAATTCTTCTGCCTCAGCCTCCGAGTGGCTGGGATTACAAGCGTGTGCCAACCACACCTGGCTAATTTTGTATTTTTAGTAGAGAGAGGATTTCTCCTTGTTGGCCAGGACAGTCTCAAACTCCCAACCTCAGGTAATCCACCCACCTCAGCCTCCCAAAGTGCGGGGATTACAGCTGTGAGCCACTGTGCCCAGATTCTTTTCCTAATTAAAAGAATTAGGTGTGTGCCCGGCCTAATTTTTTGATTTGTCATAGAGACGGGGTTTTGCCACGTTATCCGTGCTGCGGGGTTTCCTTCTGATGAGATGAAAATATTCTGGAATTAGGTAGAGGAGATGGCTGGACAGCATTGTGAATGCACTAAAAATGAACTGTACAAATGGTGACTTTTATCTTATACAATTTTTTTTTTTTTTTTTGAGACGGAGTTTCGCTCTCCTTACCCAGGCTGGAGTGCAATGGCGTGATCTCGGCTCACCGCAACCTCCGCCTCCTGGGTTCAGGCGATTCTCCTGCCTCAGCCTCCCGAGTAGCTGGGATCACAGGCACACGCCACCGTGCCCAGCTAATTTTTTGTAATTTTAGTAGAGACGGGGTTTCACCATGTTGACCAGGATGGTCTCGATCTCTTGACCTCCTGATCCACCCGCCTTGGCCTCCCAAAGTGCTGGGATTACAGGTGTGAGCCACTGCACCGGGCCAATATTTTGATTTTTTAAAAAGGACGATGAGGTGAAACGTTTAAGGACCTATCAGTAGAGATGGTAAGAAGACAGCGAAAAGGGCAGGGCTGAGACTCAGGGGAGACAGAGCATGCTCCCCCCGGCCTCCTGCTGTCTGCAGGGCACCTGGGGCCCTGAGGCCTCACTCCTGCCTGACCACCTGCCTGCTGGCTCCTCACCATCCGGCTTCAGCTCCCATTCCCCCCGGAGTGAAGGCTGCTCGTCCACACCCACCTGGCCTCAGTGATGTCCGCAGCGTTTCCCCTGCACACCCTCTCCAGCTGCACGTAGGCCAAGCAGTTAATCCGGCTCCACTCCGGGTCACAGACGGCCAGGAAGTTGGGGCGCAGGCGACCGATTGTGTACTTGGCCAGGTCTGTCAAAGACTGGCTCACAGCCGCCCCAAACAGGAAGGTCCCCAGCACCTTGTATACGGCAGCCACGTAGTTGTTGAAGTCGGAGCGGGAATAGAGCCGGTCCGTGTGCACCAGGTAGGCTTCTCCCGCCGAGACCTGTGTGGGGGGCAGCCGCAGCAACCAGCGGGGGTCCCGGTCAGCTGTGGGCCCTCACTGGGCCTCAGTCCTCCCCATGGGCCTCCCCAAGGCTGCTGCAGAGCTGGGGACTCTAAAGGGGCCCTAGCTGGGCTCGGTGGCTCACACCTGTCATCCCAGCACTTTGAGAGGCTGAGGCGGGTGGATCACCTGAGGTCGGGCGTTCAAGACCAGCCTGACCAACATGGTGAAATCCATCTCTACTAAAAATACAAAATTAGCCAGGTGTGATGGCACATGCCTGTAGTCCCAGCTACTGGGGAGACTGAGGCAGGAGAATCACTTGAACCCAGGAGATGAAGGTTACAGTGAGAGGAGATCCTGCATTGCACTCCAGCGTGGGCAACAAGAGCAAAACTCTGTCTCAAAAAGCAAAGGGGGGTTCCTATTACCCACAAGTACCACTCGGGACAAGGGCGTGTCCCCCAGCCCCCCACAGACCTCCAGGGCAGGGCTGTGCCACCCCCCATCAGGAACCCAGGGTAAGGCCGTACCTTACCTGTACCCCATCCCACCCCCCTGCCCTGTCCCTCCGAACCCCTCCTGCCTTACAAGGATGACGGTGGCCGTGATGGTGACCCCGGCCATGAGCCCATGGGTGATGGTGTCTGGACGGTAGGGGTACCGGATGGAGTCATCCCTGCAGTAAAATCCTCGCTTGTATGGAGTGTTCACCAGCGACAGGACAGCGAAGGGCAGGGAGGCTGGAAGGGAGAAGAGCCTGGGAGCTGCGAGGTTCTCCAACCAGCTGGGCCGTGGGGCCCCCACACATGCCTTGGCCTTGAGGCCTCCCACCGCTGCTCCCACCAACAGCAAGGAAGAGTTTTTCCTCACAGCACGTGGGAGGCTCAAGCAACACCCCTTTCCCACCGCCCTCGGATGCACACGAACTCCCCAGGCCCTCTCCCCCTCACGGCTCCCCTCTGCTCCCTGAACAAACCCAGCAAACACTTACCTCAGGGCCTTTGCACACACACTTCTCTCTGCCCAAAATATCTTTTTTTGTTTTTTTGAGACGGAGTTTCGCTCTTGTTACCCAGGCTGGAGTGTAATGGCGCGATCTCAGCTCACCGCAACCTCCGCCTCCTGGGTTCAGGCAATTCTCCTGCCTCAGCCTCCTGAGTAGCTGGGATTACAGGCACGCGCCACCATGCCCAGCTAATTTTTTGTATTTTTAGTAGAGACGGGGTTTCACCATGTTGACCAGGATGGTCTCGATCTCTTGACCTCGTGATCCACCCGCCTCAGCCTCCCGAGTAGCTGGGATTACAGGCACGTGCCACCATGCCCAGCTCATTTTTGTATTTTTAGTAGAGACGGGGTTTCACCGTGTTGACCAGGATGGTCTCGATCTCTTGACCTCGTGATCCACCCGACTCGGCCTCCCAAAGTGCTGGGATGACAGGCGTGAGCCACCGCGCCCGGCCCTGATTTTTATTTTTAAAAGTAGAGACGGGGTCTCATGTTGACCAGGCCAGTCACAAACTCCCGGGCTGGAGACCCCCCCAGCCTCTGCCTCCCAAAGTGCCGAGATTACAGGTGTGAGACAACATGCCGGGCACCAAAGTGACTCTCACTTCTGCTCAGCTTCATCTCCCCTCCAGGCTGTCCACACGGGCGTCCCCCTCATAAAAGGAAAGGTCTGTTTAGCCGGGTGTGGTGGCGCGTGCCTGTAACCCAGCTACTCAGGAGGCTGAGGCAGGAGAATTGCCTGAACCCAGGAGGTGGAGGCTGCCGTGAGCTGGGATCGCGCCATTGCACTCCAGCCTGGCGACAGAGCGAGACTCTGTCTCAATTTATAAAAAGAAAATAAATAAATAAATTAAAATAAAAGGGAAGGTCTGCTCTTTTTCCCTCTTGTCCCATGTGGAATTATGCAGTCACCTTGGGACACTGGACTTAATCTCGCCCCCTCCACCTGCCAGCACCAGGAGGGGCCTGTCGTGTTCAGGACAGAGTCCCTGGATCCTGCTCAGAGCCTGGCCAGGGCAGATGTTTAATGAACATCTGTTAAAGCAGGCAAGACTTATTTCAACCTAAGAGCTGGCCACAGAAGTCAGGAAAGGGTCAAAGCAGGGGCACAGTAGAGGTGCCTTCATGCTTGCCCCTGCCCTTTACTGACCCTCATGCCAGGGCACATGCCAACCACATGGTGATTCAGGGATCAAAGGCACATTCTCTTGAATTCCACACTTACGGAAGGTGTCACATGGCACTGGGGCTCCCGGGGCCCTGCTGAGCCGAGGGTGGCCAGGGAAGCCGGAGTCAACTACAGAGGGCAGGGGCGGGGGCAGCTCCCTGTTCCCTGTGGCAGGTGCACAGCAAAACCGCGGGGCATCTACCCCAGAGAGAAATGAAGGCAGGGCGTCCTTTGGCCCAGCAGGGCAAGGACAGAAAAGCGTGGCTCTTCTGAATTCTGAGAGTCTGAGGAGGGACAGGGAGCCTCGCACTCCTCCCTGCATGCCAGCTCCAAGGGTCCTAGGACACGGCATGCCTTCGATGCTGGCTGAGTCTGGGGAAATGATGCAGTGAAGACAGAGAGGTCTGCCTCACAGGGCAGGAGAGGCGGAGGGAATGCAGAACAGAAGGGGCAGCGCAGGGGCCTGGAGAGGCAAGCGCTGGGCAGATGGGGCAGAGAGTCTTCTGCTGGGGCGCAGCGGTGGCTGGCGCTGCTGTGAGGGCAGAGGCTCCTGCAATTGCCGCCCGGTGGAAGGTCAGGGTCACCGGACAATGACAGACTCCAGCCCCTCCCCGCGGCTCTCAGCAGGTGGAGGCTCACACTGGTTGGCCTCCATTTCCGACCTCCCTGCCCCAGTAACTCCAGCTAGAGACTCAGACACCCCCATGACAACCGGCCCCAGGCCTCCTTCTGCCTGGAAAGCTCTCCCTGGGGTCCCCGGAACAGGCACCTTCTCATTTGACCCCCGGGAGCCTTCCCACCCTCACGCTGCCCCCACAGCCCCGTCTGGAACCTGTGGACTGCACTGTGATGGGCTGAAGCTTCCAGAATGGTGGTGCCCTCAGCCTGGCCGCCACCCCCCCGGCTGTGTGGCCTCCAGCAGGCGTCTCCCCGAGGCTGCACCTCCTTCTCAGGCCATTGTAAGGGAACCGTTTCGGTTATCTGCATGCCACTTAGCGCCTGGCATCCAGAAAGTGCCACACACGTTTAACTGACAGCTGCTCAGGACCTGGCGCCCAGGGCCGGCAGACACCCTACGGGGACTTCATGCTGTCCCCTGGCCCACGCTAACGAGGGCCTACTTCGGAGGTCAGAGGGCTTGGCCTCCGCTGTCAGATGCCATGGAACCAGGAAACGCGCTGGGGAGGAGCGCACCCCCGCCCCCCGCGGTGACAGAACTGCGGGACCATTGTCCCTTCAGCCGCAGAGCAAACAGTCAGCCTTTGTTCCCGGGACCCTGGGGGGGCCTCGGGACGCTGCTTCCCCCATCTGGCCCGAAAACCCGCAGGACAGGTTTGGGTCTCCCGAGGCCCCCAAGCCTGGGACCCAGCTTTTCTCTCCAAGTGTCTCTCCCGCCCGAGGCGCAGGGGTTCGAATCCCACCGAACGCGCTGCGCGCCAGGGCCGGGTCAGCCCCTCCACGGGCACCCAGAGCGCCCACCCCGGGGGCGGAGGCGCGGACGTCCTGCCGGGAGATCCGCGGCCGCTCCCACCCCCCGGGCCCGCCGCCCGCGTGAATCACTGCCCGGGCCGGGAGCGGCGGGAGGGAGGTGAGCGCGGTCCCTGCACGGCCACTTCCTGCTGCAGGGCGGGGAGGCAGCCCCGGCACCCCGGGCGCTTCGAGACCCCCCAGCCCCCCGGGCCCGAGACGCGGGGGCCCCGAGGCCTGGCAGGTGCGCGCGGCGGGGCCGTGGAGGGACGAGGGCGCGCAGCCTCCCGGTCGCTGCAAAGCTGCGCGGAGCCGGGGCCGTGTCCGTCCCGGGAGGGTCCCCACCCCCGGGGCCCCGCGGCTCTTACCGACCAGCAAGCACAGCACTTCGAGCAGCACGAGGACCCACCTCCGCTGCATGCCCGCTGCCCCCGACGCTCCCTGCGCGTCCCGGCCCGGCCGCGGGTCACGTGGCCGCGGAGCCCGCCCCGCGCGGAATGGGGGGGACCGAGAGTGGGAGAGGGGAGGGGAGGGGAGAGGGGAGGGACGGAGAGGGCGGGGAGGGGAGGAGAAGGGGAAGGGAGGGGAGCGGCGCGCGGGTGCGGCGGCCCGGGGAGGGGTGGACTCTGCCCCCGCCCACGGCGCCGGAAGGAGCGGGTGGGGCGAGCGGGTGGGCGCCGCGGGGACCGTCCTCCTGGAGTTCGGGGACCCGACCCGGGCTGTGCGCGTTTCCGAGCTGCGCGCGGTGGTGCCGGGCTCGAGGGTCCCTGCGTGGGGAAGGAAGGCGGCGAACGGGGCCGCGGGGAGGATGCGCTCTGGCTCCGCAGGACGGGTCCCCCCACTTTCCTCCCAGGAAGTCACACCCGCGCTGCGCACCTTTAAACCCCCGAAAGCGCCGGGCGCGGAGGCTCACAGCCGTCATCCCCGCACTTCGGGACGCCGAGACGGGCCAGTCACCTGTGGTCAACAGTTCGAGACCGGCCTGGCCAACATGGTGAAGTCCCGTATATGCTAAAAGTACAAAAATTGGCCGGGCTGGCGCTCACCTGTAATCCCAGCTACGCGGGAGGCTGAGGCAGGAGAATCGCTTGAACCCGGGAGGCGGAGGTTGCGGTGAGCCGAGAGCGCGCCACTGCACTCCAGCCTCGGCTATGTAGCAAGACTCTGTCCCCCAAAAAATAATCAATAAAAATGAAAAATAAAAAATAAAAAACCTCCGAAAGCAGGAAGGGGCCCGCAGCTTCATGACAGGGGTGTTTCTTTTCTCCTAATACTCAAAATCCTGGCGCACGCTTCGATCCCCGGCATGTCAGCAGCTCAGGTTCTTCAGCACCCACCTTGGAGACGGTGTTGGGTGTCCCCGGAGTACCCCATGCCCCGGAGCCGTTCCTGCCAACACACTTCCGATCCCACTTCATGGAAGAGCACGGGGGCACGGGGAGGTGGGAACCATGAAATGGCGCCGGGGTCTGTGCCCCCACCGGGTCCTGGGAAGCCCTGAGCTGAGGGTGCCTGGGGGCTGAGGGCACCCAAGCCAGGGAACGGAGGCCCCAGGGGCCCACACTGGGTCCTTTCAGCCGGGACCAGCCAGGAGGCCTCAGGAGTGTCAGACCCACCCCTCCCGAGTCCAGCCTTGACCTCTGCCACTCCCGGTCACTTGGTGGGACGTGGCCGGGCTGGGTCCCCGGGTCCACCGCCACCCTGAACCTTCAGACCCACCATCAGCCCCCCTGCCCCAGCAACACCAAAACAGGGTGCGTCTCAGCAACTGGACTTGAGCTGGGAGCTCCTCAGCCACCTGCACCTGGGGCAAGGGGCTCCTGGGAGACAGCAGAGACCACTGTGGCGCCGGGTGGGAGGAAAAGGTGCAGGCTGCCCTGTGGCTTCCTGTTCCGCTGCTGCACTCACGGTGGGGCTGGGCTGGGCTGGGCTGCGCTGCGGCTCCAGCTCCAGTCGGGATTAGCGTGCGGGGCATAAATAAATGCTACCTAAATGTCGCCCTCAGCGTCCCTGCTGCACTTTGCCCCACACTTCAGCCTGTCCGTGTAGTCTTCACGGCCCACGTGCACTTTCTGCTACATTGGAGAGGGTGCAGCATCACACCGGAGTTGAGGAAAGGCAGGGTTCTTTACTGAGCACCTAATGTGCGCTGGGGGGCAAGGGAGAGGTCACTTGGAGGGGCTTGCCACAGTGGGGGTGGGGAGACGGTGGGGGCTGTGGGATTGGGCCAAGCCAGGAGGGAGACACCCAGTAGAGGGGAGGAGGTAAACCTGGGAGGGTAGAGGGTGAGGTGAGGCTGGAGGCTGTTCCCCCTTCCATCCTTCCCCTTGGGTCAGGATTTGGGTCAGCCCTTAAAATCCCCGGGCAGGGCAAGGATTAAAATCTGGTTGGGGAAGCAAGAATGAGGATTACGGTCAGGATTGGGGTCGACTCCTGCGTTTGCTGACTTCAGGGAACGTCCTGTCAGAGCTTTTCTCAGCTGCATCTACTGCTGCCCCAGCTGCCCCGTCCTCCCTTACAGGAAGAACGTGCGGCCAGGGCGCCTCCCAGCAGTGACAGAGCTGGCCAACAGGCCAGGCCTCCACGCCGTCCTCCTTCGCCCGCAGATGGCAGAGCTGGAAGTGGGTAGCGGTACACGGCCCCAAGTTGGGTCCCCTAGAGACAGGACCGCCCCTGGGGGCCCGGCCACCACCCCCAGGCAAGCAAGCTCAGCTCCACAGGCTCCGCCACCTTGGTGCCTCATCGCAACCTGGATGGCTACAGGTCTGCTTCCAAATGCACGTTTTGGAGACTGAGACACCTGGGAAAGGGATGGAAGGGGGCCTGGCACAGAGTAGGTGCCACCTCAATGCAGCCAGCCACTGCACCCGCCCTCACTGTACTTCTCTGTGACTTGACAGGTGAAGTGCCTTACCCAAGGCCAGAACGGGAGTCGTCTCCCAGGTTTCTGGCGTGGGGCTCCTAGAGCCAAGCAGGTACCCATTGGTGGGTCTGATGTGCAGGCGGTGGGCAGGGAAGGCAGAGTGGGTGGATACCAGTCTCTGTCTGCATAAAGGGGACAAGACAGTGGCTTCCACCTGGGCTTCTAGAGAAGATTAAACAGCTGGTCAAACACTTGACCCAGGGACAAGCACTGGGAAACTTCATTAAACAAAACACGGAGTGGGCGGGTGTCACGTGTTTGCTGGG